CTATGGAGAGTCCCCACAATCCACAAAAACAAACCTGTGTGTGTGTGTGTAACAGCAAATCCAGGAGCTGGAGGCCACCCTGTACAACGCACTGCAGCAGGATAAAGTCATCAAATACGGAGAACCTCTGGACGAGCTGCAGAAGGACGAGTTACGCGCGGCTGTGGAGAAACTGCGCAGACAGATGCTGCGGAAGAGCCGAGAGTATGACTGTCAGGTGCTGCAGGAGAGGATGGAGCTGCTCCATCAGGCCCATCAGGTACAGTTCATGACACGCCTCATCATTTGTAACATATTTTCATGCATGTAGTATACTGTGAATCATGAAACCAAACGTGAGACTTTGGCTTGAAAAGACAAAATTCTGTCATTTATATTTCATATTCCCAAGGAGAAAGGCCACAGAAGGCATCCTCATGATGGAAGAATAAAAAGTCATATTATTATTATTTTGTTTATTTTGTTTAAATGTAAAGATGGGTGAAAAATGGCATGGCTGAAATGTATGTATGAAAACATGAAATAAAATATAATATAAAACTAAGCATTATATATCATCTTACTAAGACATATTATTGGGAGTGAAACATATTTATATGTAAATATTATGTTATACTTCTATTTTAAAAAACGTGTTGATTTACATTATAAGCTATCAGTATTTCATCTTACTTTTGGCCATGTAAATTAAAATATCTGCACCAAATTGCATATTTTTGCTTAGTTTAGGCCTCTAAATCAGAGTTGTTTTAGTTAACTAAAACTAAAACCATAAAAAAAACATTACTTGAAGTAAAATACTGTAGATGTTAATTGAAATAAAATAAAACTTATTTTATTGCAGGTCATTTTCAAGGCACCATTTCTCATTTTTTATTTAACCCGATGTACTAAAATAACTACAAATTTAATATAAACTATATAGACATTTAAAACAACAAAAACTAATAAAAATGTCAAAAACACAACAAAATTACTAAAACTTTACCTTGAAATAAGAAAATATAACAATAAAAAATATTAACAAAAATTATTATTATAGTATTTATAGTAATTATAGTATCTCAATGATACTAAAATAACACCGCTCTGTTTTTTTTCCTCCTGGAATATTAGCTCCATAATCTCACTATATCATACAATATGAGACAAAAAAATCAACATGAAACACTTATGCAAACTTTTTATCTTTTAGATTTTCTTTAAAGGTTCATCACTGTTCATTAAAAAAAAAAAAAAAAAAAAAAAAAAAAATTTT